CCCCCCCCCAACCCCCCCCCCCCCCCAAAAAAAAAAACAAGAAAAGACGGCGATCCGATCAGGTAAAGAAAGACGACAGCAGCGTCACCACCAGCCGCAGGCTTTCATCTCCCCTTTCGGTTTTTTTTTTGTTTTTTTTTTTTCACTAATGAACTTGCTCCTTGCACCAGGCTAGACTATCATCCATCCTCCTCTCTTTTTTTTCTTTTTTTTTTTAACACCTACCATCTCTCGCTCTCTCATGCATGGATCATGCCACGTAAAGCGGGTGGACGGGAACTCCCTCCACCCCCCTCCTCCTTCTGCAACCAATTATTCTTCTCCCATCTACACCCATCAATCTCAATAACGTGCAAACCCACAAAAAAAAAAAAAGAAAAAAAAAAGAGAAAAAAAAAGAAAAAAAAAGCTGCAAACTGTACACGTGTCGCGACTAGGAACACTTTTTGTCGAAGCTAATATATTGTGAACGTAAAGAACACCCATCACTCTCTGTATCATGGAGATGAGGGAGGCTCGAAGGGCAGTCCCTCCCTCCTCCCTCCTCCCTCCTCCCTCCGCACCTAATTATCCTTCTCCCATCATGCGTGGAGGAGGGAGTGCCCTACGAGGCTTCGGACTTGTCATCTCTGTGCATCATGGATGCATCAGGCAACGTAAAGAGGCTCAAAGGGACGTCCCTCCTCCCTCTGCAACCAATTATCCTTCTCCCATGTACACCCATCACTCTCAACAAGGTGCAAACTGTACGCGTGTCGCGATTTCGAAGACGTATTCTCATAGCTATTGTGAACGACACTTCCGTGAAGAATCACCGCCGTCCCTGCTTTTACCTCCACCGGTCGAAATTTCGATAGATCATAATTAGGAAGGTCACCCCCAATGAATCGAATGGTTAATCGCCCTCCTTCCCCTCCTCCTTCTCCTCCTCCTCCTCCTCCTTCCTCCGATCTCACCATTCTGCGTACAGGCTTTCCCTCTGTGTGTGAACCTTGCAGTGCCCATAAACACCCGTTCTCCTTTGTCGCGTCCTCCAATGCCACCCAGATCCCGATGCAAGACGGAGGCTCCGTGTACAAAAACGTGTTGTCCTGATGAGGTACCACCTCTCCTCCTATTCCCGGTTGCTTAAAGATGTACATGGACTGGACAGGGATGGGGCGGCGGTAGCGCAGCGACCGCATGATTTTCGCGATTTTAGCAGAGCGAGAAAATTGTCGAAAAACGGGATCGAGATCGTGTAACGCGTGCCCTACCTTGTTGATGGACACGTGTTTCGGTCTAGTCAGCAGACCTGGTTTGTCGTTTTCGAAAGCTTTTTCCTCAAAGAAGAAGGAGATGTTGCTGGCGCTCTTAAAGAAGTAATCGTCGGTGCGACGTTTCTGTTCCGTTGTGTTGAAAATAGAACGAGTCGACGACGGATCGAACCCGTCGAGTAACTCGTCCATCCGCTCGCGCAGCCGTCGGATTTCCTCATCCGTTGCGAATCCTTCTAGCAACAAGTACCCGTCGTCCTCGAAAGTCTTCACTTCCTCCTTCGTCAGCAATCTTCCCTCTTCCGCTTCCCACCCTCC